TCCCAAATCTAGGTAATAGGTGGAGACAAACCAGTGTTATTTTACTAACCTGTATTAGGACCACAGGAATTTAGAAGCACTGAGGAATGCTTAACTGTTTCTCTCTGTGAAGCAGCTCCCTTATTCTTGCCTACACTCATAATGAATACGAATTTGGGCCCATGTAACCAAATGGCCAAATCTAAGTTCATTTCCAGATGTTTAGATGAAAGAAAAAGAGACACCAATCTTGACAGTACATGACAAGATCTATTCAGAACAGATTCTTCTTGAGAGTTCTAGTAAATCCCTAACTTTGAAACTGAAGATGCACTCAACTTTGTTGCTGTTTCTAGAGCACAAAGTATACCTAATATTCTCATTCTCATACACAAAACATAAAGGAACACTAACGTCCCTGTGGGAACACTAATGTACTATACTACTTAACGATAAAACCAAACCAGAGCCTGTGAGATGATGGCTCAGCAGGTAAAGGCACTTGACACCAAGCCTCAGTTGGCTCCCGCAAGGTGAAAAGCGAAAAACAACTAGCGAGTTGTTCTCCGAACTGAACACACACCTATGGCATATGCGTGCACATATATATGTATACAGGGAAAGAAAGAGAGAGAGAGAGAGAGAGAGAGAGAGAGAGAGAGAGAGAGAGAGAGAAATTTAAAACAATAAAATAGTCGTTAATGATATACCAACCAATACACAATTCAAAGTAAGAGAACCTTGGTGTCTTATTTTCTCTTATTTGAACGGTCTTAGAGTCTCAAGGTAAGGAAGTTAGCTATGAGGTTAAAAGGCAAAGTTGCTCAATTTCTAGTCCATTTTTTCACACTATTGAAAGTACGGTAAGGATCTCAGTAACTTTAAGCCCTGCTCATTGACTCTTTTGAGCAATTAAACTTTAGGAGTGTTAGAAATATTTAGAAAAAAATTCTTTATAAGATAAAATAATTTACCGAGTGGTGGTGGCGTACTCCTTTAGTCCCAGCACTTGGGAGGCAGAGGCAAGTGGATCTCTCTAAGTTCAAGGCCAGCTTGGTCTACAAGAGCTAGTTCCAGGACAGACATCAAAGCTACACAGAGAAACCCTGCCTCGAAAACAAAACAAAATAAAAAAAAAGGATTTAATTATCATCCTTATTATCCACTAAATAGTTGCAATACAAGTAGGAATTTTAACTTTTCCAATATGCCTAGTTAAATCTTTCCAGGAATAAATGAAAGCTCACATCACGCTGTGGTTGAAGGAGTTTCCACTGTGCCGCCTTTCACCCCTCGGGAAGTCCTTACCTGTGCTCACCAGAGAACACTGCTTTCCCGCCCTCTCCTAGTCCGCCCTCCCGGACCTGCTCGCTACACCTCTTTACACCGCGTGCAAAGTACAACTTCTCCAATGGGGAGGTCAAAAAAGACCTTTTGGCCATTTCCTAAACAGTCTCTCCATTAATTTCTTAGCCATTTATAAAGGGAGGAAGTGGGAGGAGTGAACTATTAATTCAGACACCTGCCTTTTCAGAAGCTGAAACCTTCTGACCTGTGTGGTAAAGGGCTGCAGCCGTTCTACAGTGGGAAAAGTACCCCTCAAGAAGCAGGAAAGCCATTGCTAGAGACTCCAGAAGGAAGTTGATGGCCTGGCCCAGCGCCAGGCCTGCAGGCCCCAGTGAGTCTGCGCACTAGAGTCCTCATCCCTCGGCCCTGGGGGGGGGGGGCTGTTGCCCTTGACAACCCAGGCGGCCTGAGGAGCTTGACCACCAGCTTAGCGCTAGGCTGCGCTGCTGCCTCTGATGGCTATGCAGCCAGGTCCAGCACTGAGAGCACCGTCCACCGTGATCTGTCTCTTCAGCCTGGGCCTGGGCCTGACAGGGTGAACTGGATCCTTGGGACTTGGAACAAGTGAAATGTGAGGTAATGGTGCGCCGCTTTCTTTTGCTAAGTGTCCAGATGGACATGGAGTCTGGAGAAAGGACTCCGTGCGTGAGGAGGGGAGGAAGAGGGAGAGTCCGTCTCCATTCTCCGTCTTTTATGCCCTCTCATTTTGACCTTCAAATAACTTTATTTTTATTTAGGTTTTGGGATGTGGGATCTCACTATGTTGCCCAGATAGCTCTTGAATTCCTGGGCTGAGCAATCCTCCTGCATCACCCTCACAATCAGCTCCCGGGAACTTTTTATTCATTCATTCTCACCCACTCATTCTAGATTGTATCTAGCACCGAGTCCCAGTATATGGATGTGCCGTGAAGTGAGGTGGAAAGTTAAATATTTACCATCACTGTCAAGATTACCCACCAATCACCTTAAGTAAAATATTCATTAAAATTATCAGTCAGAAAGGGGAGAAGGGGAAGGGGGCAGCTGGATGCATCTGGCCAGGGAATTAAGCAGGACTCATCATAAACACATAGAAAAAAATTTCTTGGCTTATAGGGACTCAGAGTGACTTGAGCTGGTCCTGAAAAATCAAAAGTTAGAACACACCATAATCAAAATATTAAGACAACAAATTCCATGAAGGAATTCATGTGTCCTCTGAAGGTTCTAGACTAAATTCTCCTCTTTTTATTAAAATAAAATAGTTTTTTGAGACTGGTGAGATGGATCAGTGATCAGGAGTCTTGCAGCTTTTGCAGAGGATCAGAGTTCAGTTCCTAGCACCCATCAGGAAGCTCACAACCATCTTTAACTCCAGCTTCAGGGGCTCTAATGCCATCTTCCATGGGCATCCAAATACACATGTTGACACACAATTTTTTTTTGTTGTTGTTTTTTTGTTTTTCGAGACAGGGTTTCTCTGTAGTTTTGGAGCCTGTCCTGGAACTAGCTCTGTAGACCAGGCTGGTCTCGAACTCACAGTGATCCGCCTGCCCCTGCCTCCCGAGTGCTGGGATTAAAGGCGTGCGCCACCACCGCCCAGCTGACACACAATTTTTAAAGTAAAAGTTTTAAATGTTTTAAATACACTCTCTCTCTCTCTCTCTCTCTCTCTCTCTCTCTCTCACACACACACACACACACACACGCCCCCCCCCCGACACACACATACATACACCAGGCTCAGGGAGCATCATGGAAGAGAAAATACAAAGATTAAAACTCAGAAGTTTGGGGAGGGATTCCTCCAGACATAGCACGGTTGATGCACTTGTGAGCTGCAGTCACATTGTCAACTTCTTCATCATAAGAGGGTGAAGGACTCGGAAGCCCCTCCTCCGCCCCCACCCCTCCATCATATCGTGTTAATGAAGTCAACCCTGTTTAACTCAGCAGATCAGACAGATAAGAGAGAGGAAAGCAATAAAAGGACTTGTTGGAAAGAAAGAGTTTTAGCAGAGAAGGTGGGGTGGTAAAACAGAATAACGGGGTGAGAAGGGCTAAAATTCATTACACAGATGAATGAAACCTCCCAAAATTAAAAAAATGAATTACTCCCTCAAAATCATTGTTTTCAATTGCTGTAACTCTATGTGAAGACAATAATGGGCTGTATCTCTGCTGAAGATGCTAAGGATAAATGGTAGACATGACGTCTTTCCAATTGCTCCAGAATATCTGTGCTGGTTTTAGTGTGTGACAGTTGGGCTAGGAATAGCAAATGAGGGACTTGTCCTTCACCTGCTTCTAGATTAGTGATGGGATTACCAGAAAATAAAAACTAGTAAATGATTATTCGTTTATTTTTACAGAATTACGATTCTTAATTGGATTACAGAGCAACCAAATCGTTTTTTCTTTCTTTCTTTCTTTCTTTTTTTTTTTTTTTTTTTTTCGAGACAGGGTTTCTCTGTGGCTTTGGAGCCTGTCCTGGAACTCGCTCTGTAGACAAGGAAAGAATTCTGACCAGTTTGGGTTTTTTTTTTAATGACTATGCTCTTTTTCTTTCCACAACTAACCTGGACATCTTAAAAGCACATGCACACACACTTTTTCTGATTAGCATTTTATGAGCTCTTTTCTTGGATGACTTTCCTGTGGACCTCGTTGAGATTAGAGAGACAGTAAATATTTACTCCCCAACTTATTACATTCTGCTTCCCCTGAAAGTGACACTTAACAGCTTTCTTAAGATAGCATCTCATTGTTTCCCTGTACAAGTTCTGTAGTTCCGAGGCTATCCATCCGGCCATGGTAGAGAAATTAAACTTGGCTGCCTTTAAGTCTCACCTCTCTATTGCTTCTTGGAGATGCTGTGTGAAAGCTCAGAGCTTATTTCAGCTACATGGTTTCTTTCCTGTTGCATTAATGGACATGGAAGAAAATAAATTTTAGGAACTAAAGATTCGTTAAAATTATCAAGTCATTAGATTTGAACTTGCAGCATCATTTTGTCAAAACTGTCTTCTTGCAGATAAGATCAAGGAAAAATAGTCACATGATCAGTCATATGTCATGACCTTTATTACTGACTTTTGCATGTCAGTAATATATATAAATATATACATGCATATACATACATACATCTCATCAATGATTATAAAAGAAGAGGTCATGAACTCCAGAGAGCATTGGGGGGGGCACAGAGGAGTTGGAGGGAGAAGGGGAGATAGAAATTGTGAAACAGAGTATGTTTATGTTTGAAATTCTCAAACTTTTTAAAGAAGAAAATGCAAAATATGACTAGCACTAAGTTGGTTGTGAATATAAAAGAATCATTGAAGCGTTACTGAAAATTTTCTAATAATGTTCTTTAGTTGACTTTTATTCTTTATTATCTAGAAATGCTGTGAAATAGGAAAAGAGAGCATGTTCAAAATATCAGTATTTCTTAGCCACAGAAAGACACTAGGACTGGTAGGTTGCACTTAAGGTTGTGAGAAGGAAAAGTACAGAAAGAAAACTCCTGTGGCCTCTGGGTTTTGGAAGAAAGTTTTCAAATAAGAATCAGATGTATGAGTTTTCTCTGAGAAAAAGCATACATACATGTTTTGTATTCTTTTGTAGAAGTCTGTTAATAAAGATATCACCGAAGCTTAGAAACAAAATCAACCAGAGGAAATCCTGAAAGTATGGGATGTAGAAATTCAAAAATATCTTCATCAAATACTGTTGTCTTAGGGGTGAGTGTCATATTTTCTCATTACTGAGATCAAGTTCCCTCTAAATAACTGAAGGCAAAGGGGTGTGCTTCAGCAGATCATTCCTGAGGGATGCAGGTCATCATGGTGGGAAGTGGCAGAAGGTAAGGGAGGCAAGCTAGGAGGAGGAGACAGCTTTGGACTGGGTCATTGCACATGCATCTAAGAACTGCAGAGTGAACAGCAAAGACCCATGCCTACCTCTACTACCTAACTTTCTGTGATCCTCCACCTTCCCAAACAGCCCCATCAGCCAGGGGCCGAGCGTTCAACACGTGATCCTATGGAAGGCACTTCACACTCACTGCAGCAGTAAGGTTTTACTCAGATTGACTAAAATTCACTGTTTTAAACAATGTCAGTTTTTAAAAGGGTGACCTTGTATCTAGAAAGGGATGCATTTAAATAACTAAGCAGCAAAAGCTTTTTGCAAAGCATGCTGGTTGTCTTCTGTAGCTTTTGCTTAGTCTCCTGGGCCTTCATAAGCAGGGATGTGCTGAGATATCAGCACATGGGCTGAATTACCACTCCCAAGGAAAGCCAGCAGCATGAATAACTACCAGATTAAAAAGTGTGGGTGTGTTTGCAAGTTTAAAACAGATCTGTCGGGAATCTCGTTATCACTGCACTCATGGCTGTACAGTAGGGTGAACACACATTTCTGTTCAGTGACAAACCTGAGAGCTTAAAGCTTACCTAGTTCTATCAACAAAAACTAAGAAGTTAGAAAAATCACACTTTAATAACTACCTAGTGGGAGAAAACTGTTCCGTAGGCTTCAGCTTTTCCTCTGAGTTTTTAGACCATGAAGACCAGCTCTCCAAACTGCTGCACAGGAGATCTTGGCCCTGTAGTGACAGACCGCCAGGAGAGCAATGGGAAATGTCTTAATCTGCTCTCCTGACACATGTACATGCTGCCAGCCTCTGCGGCTGGCTGGCTGGCTGGCTAGCTGGCTGGTTGGTTGGTTGACTGGTTAGTGGGATGGTATGAGTGAGACCTCCTGGAACCCAGTGACAAGCTCTGAATTTAAGAATCATTTTTCAATAAGAAAACTTTAGCTTATTCCCCCATGCACCAGCAGAGTTCTTCTTGGACAGACACTGTGTCTGGTACAACCAGTGAGAACCCCATAGTTAACGCATGACTAGCTTACTTAATAAAAGTTAATGTTTATTGAGATTGTGGTTTCCATGACATCATTCGGTACTAACAGCTGTCTCTTCCCCCAGGTTATCCAGATTATGCTTGGCGTCTATCATGTTCTCATGTGGTATTTCCTATTGCTGTTGTATATGGGACAAATTAAAGGAGTATTTGGGACTTATGAACCTCTGACTTACAAAATGGGAACTGGTTTGTGGGGACTTACTGTGAGTAGAATACATTTGTGTTGATTTTATTAATTCAGTAAATAATATTGATTAGTATTAGTAGATGGTAGGGGCCAGTTTCTAAACGAGGTTTTCAGGAGAATCTTATAACTCAATGCCATTTACTGACTTGTTCAAAAATCCAATTTCTTCTATCAACAAATATGCATTGATCATTTAACCTACAAGCGCTATAAAAGAAATGTGAATACGAGAGCAAATGACAAGCACAATATGGACTGCAGCATAACCCTAGCTGTGTCAAAGACAAAGACACTTTCTCAACCATCAAATCCGTTGTAGTGGTTAATTTTTAATGTTTGCCATTACCTGCATTCGGTGCAGTTTCTAGACAGCTGTCGGGCAGAAGGAAAACTCGAGAGTGTTGGGGATCCCTGGAAGTCAAAGAAAGACTGCATCACAAGACATAAAGAAGATCAGGTCTATCATCCTCTGTTGCTTTGTCAGTATGATAAAGGTTGAAAGCTGACTGCTGGGCTTATGACTATGGTAACCAGTCATAAACATGACAAGTAGTCTCAGTAAAATGATGACACAAAATCTGATTGGAATTGGTTTAGGGAAATGAAATAAGAGCTCAGGGAATTTTTTTTAATATTTTTAATTTACTTTTTGATAACTCTATACTTGTGTACAATGCATTTGGATCTTATCTACCAGACTCCCTCCCTCCAGCTCCTCTTGGAGTCCCCAGCACATTTCCCTTTCAACTTCATGCCCTTTCTTTTCTATCATCATTTGCTGGTGTGGGGGTGGACGCAGAATAAAAAACAATAAATGTTATGAGGTAATAAGGGGAATGTTGCGATCATGTATTTATGCTGGCAAGAAATAATGAATTTCAGTGAAGAAATAGCTATGGTCATGTTCCCCTGTGATGGTTCTCAGTTAGTGTGCTGTTTGCCCCTTTAGAGAACATGTCCTAGTATCTGGAGATGCTCTGGAGTTTTACATCTAGTAAGCAGAAGTCAGTGATGCTACTAAGCATCCTATAATGCACCGGACATTATTTGCAAGAAAATTATAAACATTAATGTAAACAGTGCTAAAGCAAGGGAACAAAGAATAAAGAATGGATCGGATTCTGGTTTGTTTCTGGAAGCATGTGGTCAATTTCCTAGGAAAGCTTCAAGTATCTCAATGTATCAGAAAGAAACATATGGGCTGACAGTGAGGGCAGGCATTAGACCAGAAGAGAGGAGAGCGTGTGAAGGGGCCATCTGAGGAAAGTATGAGAGAGCATGTGGCTTATGGAAAAGTAATTTCATCTTTAAACAGCATTAAGGACGAAAGGGTTAGGAACATGACTGCGTAGTGAGTGAGATAAGTCTTTATTCAAGCCATGTCTATCTGCATGGATGCAGAAATGCTGCGGGAGTAAAACACTACATTTCATCAGGACTTTGATTAAAAGATTCCAGTTTGATTTAAAAAAAAAAAAACTGGAGTTGAGAATGGATATAGAGAGTATTTGTAACGGCTGATCATAGAATTGTAAAATTGGTGCCGGTGGTGAAAAGAATTCAATGGGAAGAGCTGAGAGCATAGATAGGGTGGGGAAAGCTTTGCTAGAGCGCGATGCCAGAGGGCATCCTCCACAGCAAGCAGTGGCAAGAATGAATGCATAACCCTGAGATTTAAAAGGACCAACAAAGGCAAGAGCATGAGTATGGAGATCAAGTAATCTTTATACAGGATTTGAGGGGGGGGGGGATTCAAAGAATCATATACCCAGAGCAAGTAGAAGGAAACACACATATAAATCACTGAAGATTTAGGAGAGTCTTCAGAGGGTCAAAACTTCAAATCACCTAGAAAGGAGTGAATGATGAAGTAATCAGTGAGTGGCCTCAAGCACAGGGATGGTGGATGATGGAACTGAAACAAAAATCTAGAAGGGAAAAACAAGTGGTGGAAATATACAATGGGAAGAAGAAGAAGAAGAAGAAGAAGAAGAAGAGGAGGAGGAGGAGGAGGAGGAGGAGGAGGAGGAGGAGGAGGAGGAGGAGGAGGAGGAGAAGGAGAAGAAGAAGAAGAAGAAGAAGAAGAAGAAGAAGAAGAAGAAGAAGAAGAAGAAGAAGAAGAAGAAGAAGAAGAAGAAGAAGAAGAAGAAGAAAACTGTTGTCCTTGTGCCGAAACAAAGATGCTACCTCAGCTGTCTCGGAGGAGGTTAGGTGGTCAGCAAAAGAAACGGTCACCTTGAAGACATCTGCCTTTATCCAGGAGCTGCTGCAGGCTGTCAAGGACGAAATCCAAACCAGCCCTGTTGATAAGCAATCCACTGCCTCACCAATAAGAAAAAGTGCACTTGGCTCATAAATAAAAAGCATATGGAAGAAAGAAGAAAATTAAAAATATGAGAAAAAACAGAATTTTCAGACAAAACTCAGAGAAATGATTTGTGTTCATTGTGTTTCATTTTATATTATAAAAATAACTTTAGGGGTCTAGAGAGGCAGCTCCGTCAGTGAAGTCACTGTACAAACATGAAAACCCAAGTTTCACCCCCAGGGTCATGTTTTCTTTGTGCTTTTACCATGACGCTTTGGGTACAGTGTTTTGGTTTATTTTGTTTGTCTTTTTGTTGTGGGGTATGGTTATGGCTTGTTTACTTGCTTGCTTATTTGTTTTGAGAGGAAAAAACATCAATTTGGATAAAGAACTTGGGGGAGGAAAAGACTATAACAAAATACACTGTATGGAAAAATTAATATAATTTTTAAAAGTATGGAACACGACTGCTACTTTTCAAAAAAAACTAACTTTTGCTAAAGTCACTAAAATAGAAGAGACAAAGGTCGGAGAGATGGTTCAGTCATTTAGAGCACTTGCTGCTCCTACAGGGGACCAAGGTTTGGTCCCCGCACCCACACCAGGGGACTCACAACTTGTTGCAGCTTCAGCTCCACTTTTGATCTCCGCAGGAACTGGAAGCACACACATATATACTCATAAGAAAAAATAAGTAAGACTGAAGACAGACAAAGGACTATTTCAGGGAAGTTGTATAGCCTGCTTTTAAATAACACAGTGGTGCTTTATGCTTCCTGGAAAATAGAAATGCTAAAAGGAAATAGTGGAATGTCTTCTCAAATAATTTTTATAAAAGGCAAGGTGGTTGGGAAGATGACTCTGCGTGCAATCATGAAGACCTGAGTTCAAATCTCCAACATCCACATAAAAAGCCAAGCATGGCTGCACATCCAGTTACAGCAGCAATGAGGGGCAGAGACGGCCAAGTTCCAAGCACTCAGTGGTCAGCCAGCCTAGCTGAAACAGCAAACTTCCAGTTCACTGAGAAACCCTGTTTCAAAGCACTAAGATGGGGAAAAATAAAGGAGGACACGTATGTGTGATTAGATGTTTGTACCTGCACACTCACGTGCAGGTTACACACCTGCACCTGACATGCATGCATACATAAATAGATAAACAAAGTGAAAGCCTGGGGATCCTGTGGCCTTAAAGGTGACTATTGCCTCTCAGGGAAGAGATTGCTTTTTACAGTCATGATGTCTAATGGATATATGAACCACTTCTCCACATCTGGATGTATATACAGTCATTATAGTCCCAGGTATCTCACTAGGAACAAAAGAAGTTGGAGTAACACCTAAATGGGTTATAGAAGAGATATCATATAACCTAACATGGCTCCTGGTTCAGGAAGTCTTAAGAGGACTTGCTATATACTACAACCTAAATCCTGCCCACTGTCCCCTGCTGGTACCTGTTGTGACCTCCTATTACTTTCAATATCTGTCATCTTTTGAAACCATGATTATCTCATAATGGAAGCTTGTCCCAACCCTGTCTACTAAAACTTCTCTCTTTGCTGCTATTAGTATTCTGAAAATCTTGTTCTAAAAGATAGTTGTTTTCAAGTATACTTAAATTACAGAGCATTATCAATGAGTATTTACCAATACATGTTTTGTGTCTAGTTTATCATTTCAGGAACCTTCACAGTAAGAGCAGCAAAGCATCAAAATAATAAATATTTGGTAAGTTGAAATGTTTGGAATATGTCTATTATGGACTTTCACAAAACAGAGAAAGGGTTTAAAAGAAAATTAGTGTTGGGGCTGGAGAGATGGTTCAGCAGTTAAGAGCACTGGCTGCTCTTACAGAAGTCCTGAGTTCCGTTCCCAGTGCCCATGTTGACTTGCAATTTCCAGTAGCTCCAACTCCAAGGGATCTGGCTCCCTCTGCTGGACTCTGGAGGCAACTGCACTCACAGGCATACACACATGCATGTGCATACACATGCATGCACTCACACACAAATGTACACAAATCTTTAAAATAAAGAAAAATAGCCTCTAAACAATAAAGAAATCTATCACCCTTATAAAATAAGTGAGACAAATTACTTAATGTAGACCAGATGTATTAGTAAACAATCATGGTTGTTAACTTCGCTAAAACATGTAAATTTAATAATTTTGTTTGGATATTTTACCCTTAACTTTGCATGAATACTGTGACAAAAATTATTTACAGGATCTAAAGTCTGTGATTTTAAAGTCTGTGATTACTGTGATTTGCTACTTCATTGTCTGTTCTACTCACTTTGGGAAAACAGTTGTACCTTGTATGAAAGTGGGGAGTTTAAAAAAAAAAAAACTGTCCATGGTGTAGGTGGAAAATGTTTAGAAATAAAAATATTAGAATTTTATAAATCAATTCATCTAATCTTAAATGTTTATACATCAAGAAATCTGGGACTAGATAGATGGCTTGTGAATTAAGAGCACTTGCCACAAAAACAATGCAAAGTACTTCTCCTGACTGTTGTACGTTTCCTCCTTGTCTCCTTCCAGCTCCTCTGCGCCCTGTCCATGAACATACTCTGCATACTAGTTACGATCATTGCAGCCAGCCTGACCGTCGTGGAATTGGCTCATTTTCGGTCTGTGTCATATAGGAATTATGGGCAAGCAGTGAGTAACTTACTTCATAGAAACACCTTTTTTTTTAATGTTTGTAATGGTATTTGAGAGTTCCCTACAATGTAGTTTGATCATATCACCACCCCCATTTCTCTGTGTTCTATTTATTTCAATAACCAGAGAAGCCTATTTTGTGCCACCCGACCATCCCCTGGAGTGTGATTTATCTAGCTAGGGCTCTACCCTTAAGAACACTGATTCTCTTTGCCCAGAAGCTGTCAGCTGTCAATAACTCCTCAGTTAGGGATGGAGACTCCTGAGATGCCTCTCCCCAGCCTCTTCCATGCTGGAATGTTGACTGGTTTGCTCTTGTGTGGATTTTGTGCAGGAAAAGACAGGTGCTATGAGCTTCTGAGTCCAGAAGACACAAGGACACTATTTCATACTGGTCCTCTGTGATTTATGGCTCTTAACAGGCTCTTTGCCTGCTCTTCTAAGGTGATCCCTGAGCAGCACATGTGTGTGTGTGTGTGTGTGTGTGTGTGTGTGTGTGTGTGTGTGTGTGTGTCTGCTGCATGTATATATGCAAAGGCCAGAGAATAACTTCAGGTGTCATTGCCCAGGCACTGTCTTTGACCTTGTGATGGTGCCATTAGCCCCAATCTCCCTAAGTAGGCTACATTAACTGGCCAGTGAGCCACAGGCATCAACCTGTCTCTGTCTCCCCAGCACAGAGTGTACACCCTCAATTCCCCCCCCCTCCCGCCGCAACATCCCCACCTCTCTCTCAGGTTCTGGAAGTGGAAATTGAGCTCAATTTCTGTGCCTACAAGGCAAGCACTTTGTTGACTGAGCCATCTTCCAGTCTCTCCACAGACAACATCTTAATGCAAAAAGGGTATATTCCTGGACCACTAAGCCATTCAACAAACCACGAAGAGAGCTTTGTTGTTGCTCTAATATGTTTAAACAGTGAATACCTAGTCATTTCCGGTCTCACGTAGGACTTTCATAACAGCCTGCTTTTGCATATTATGCAGATTTTTTTAGCTCTCACTACTAAATGTAAGTCAGCATCAGTCTTGTTTCTTTGTACCCAGACATAATTACATAGAAGTGCAACACATCATACTATAGTAATGTGAACAGCCTTGTTGATAATACAAGAGATTTCCTTGAGTTGTGTTGACTTGGTATTCTATTTCTTTACACCTTAAGGGAGTATTATTATGGTATAATTTAATTCTGTTTGGTTATGGAGATGTTAAATTGATTAGGGTCATGGACACTTTATTTTTATTATTCCCATGAAATGCAAATTAAATTTCCCTAACTAATTTTTTTTTTAGAAATACTTGTTCATTTGTTGGACGCCTTCTATATGATTGCTTTTAGAATGCAAAAGGTCAGCAGAAACTATCCTATCTCTAGAAGCAAACACGGAGAGAAGACCTAGGGGAAGCCCAGCCTTCATTCCAAGGGGTCTCTCTCTGCAAGACTCAGGAAGGAGCCCAGATGATGTAATGTAGATCTCAAGATGGTGAACTTCTCCATCCCACACATATGCAAACATCAGAGAAATTCAGAGAGAGGGATATCCACTCAAAAAAAAATGCTGTAAGAACATTTCCTAACATAGTACCTCCAAGATCAGTTAAAATGGTGGACTCAGATTGAGATTATTTGGTGAGACAAATACAGTTTTACTTTTGTTGCTTCCTCAAATTGCCTAGTAAATAAAATCAGGAGCTCTAAAATTAAGCTGTCTGCATTGAAGACATGGATATACAGTTCATGGGAATCATTCCCCCAGTAAGTCATAGCTCTTTTCCAAGGCTTGGTTTCCTCATCGAACCAGAAATGAAGAAATTAGTACCACCGCCAAGTGGCTCAACAATGCCAAAGTCCCTGTGTTCGATGCACAGTCATCATAAATAGTACATTGCCATGTGGTCGGCTCACTATGGAAGGCATGGCAATCATATGAGATGATTTACACGGTGTTCCAAAGAAAGCCACATAACCTACATCCTGAAAACCATGTTGGGATTGATGAGAGGTGAACTTTGTAGGAACAGGTGTCTAACTGTGTAGGCACAGTGGAAGATACAGCCCAGTTGAAGCCCACAGTGGGTAGAACCAGCTCACAGAAAGCTTCCTGAACAGGGAAACTCAGATTCTGTAGGATGTGCAGGGATGAGGAAGGATGAGAGGGGACATAGAGGGCCTGATAGAGTTGATGCAGCTAGATGTTGCACATCTGGGAAAGCTCTCAGACTAGAACAAATAGCAATGGGCTTCCCAATTGATGGATCTGAGCTAAAGTCAATAAAGTCAACCCTTATCAGAAAAAAATCAGAATCACAAATATTAGTATTGGAAAAGAAATATTCCCACACTTAAGCTAGCATGTTGGTGTCTGACTGCCACCAAAGCACTGTAGTAAGCAAGGCCGCAAGATCAAGAGTTTCAGGTCCTCCTGAGATGCATGGAAAGTTCTAGGCCAGTCTGGGCTACATAAAACCCTGTCTCAAAAGGAAAAACTATTTATCAGGGCTAAAAAAGATGGCTCAGTGGTTAAGAGCACCCCAAGTTTGGTTCCCAGTATCTATGTTGGGTGACTACAACCAGGATATTATGAGCTTCCCTTCAGCTCCAAGGAATCTGAAGCCCTCCTCTGATCTCAGAAGGAACCTGAACATGTGTTTACACACACACACATACACACGAATAAAAATAAATCTTTTAAAACATATTTTAATTAAAATAGAATTTGAACATTTCCCCCTTTCCCTTTTCTCCCTCCAACCCCTGACTCCCCAACTCCCTCTCAATTTGATGGCCTCTTTTTCTTTGATTATTACTGTTACATGGAGATAAAGAGAGCACAAATATATAAATACAACCTGATGAGTCCATGTTTTGTTATTTGTATATATATTATTTCATGGCTAGCCATTTTGTATTGGATAACTAATATAGGGGCCCATCTCTGAAAGATGTTAATTCTCTTTATCTCTCTCAACCATAATTAGCTGTCTGTAGTTCTTTGTCTTGGGGTGGGAACCTGTGAGATTTCATCTCTCTATATTAGCATGTCTATTGTCATTACTCCTCTTCAGGTCTTGTTTAGGCAGCCATTTCTGGGAGACACACTCTATTACCAGGATTCCTGGCCCTCTGGCCCTTACAATCTTTCCACTCCCTCTTCCTCGGCCTCAGGTACAGAACTTGTGTTTTAGATGTACCCACTGGCGTTGAATTTCCCATGATTCATTGATCTCTGCATTGTAGCCAGCTCCATTTGCTATAAAGAGAAGCTCTTTGATGAAGGGTTATGGCTACACTTAGAGTGGGCATGAGGATGAATTTTAGAATGTAAAGGACTATGCTGGTGTCTAGTAAAGCGATGGTAGTAGCTTCTCTTGTAAAATCCATAATCTCACTAGTCCTGGCCAAGCTGACCAGGGTTCAGGTGCCAGGCATCATTTCCATGCTGTTAAATAGGCTTTAAGGCCAATTAGAGAGCTGGTGGTGCCAACATGTAAGTGCCACTATTGCAATTTTAAGGATGTCTTGCCATGTTGGTCACCATTGTTGTTCATAGTTATCACGGCTGAACAAGAAAATTCATAGTGTTTCACCCACTCCCATGGCAGCTTACATAGGACTTTCTGGTGCTAGACTACAAGAAGAAGGCTTTCAGGTTAGCCTAACTTAAATAACCTGAGTCCTCATGTGTGACCTTATGAATACTAAATGTGTGGTACCCTAATGGAGGTAAGCGGCAGAGGCTCACCTCCAACCTCTGAGGGGCAACCAGGGGCTGGGAGCTGGGAAGATAACCTGGTGGTTAAAGGGCTGCTGTGCAAGTCTATGGATAAGAGGTCGGATCCCTAGAACCCACAGAAAGGCCAGGCAGGCCTAGTGGTAACTCCTACCTGTAATTCCAGCCTGAGAAGGCAGAGTCAGGGAATCCCCAGAGTAAACTGGCTAGCAAAACCAGCCATAGCAGAGACTTCTGAGTTTTATTGAAAGGCCCTGCCTCATTTAATAAGGTGGAAAAACCATCAACGGTGTTTCCTAACTTCGGTCTCAGAAGAGCGCCCACACATATGCATGTATGCATAATACACACACAAGCACCCACACATATGCACGTTTGCATAATATACACACAACACACACACACACACACACACACACACACACAAGAAAATAGAGCAAAAACTTATTTTTTTTAAGCTGGGCTTTCCTTACAACCTGATGACCTAAATTCAATCCTGGGACCCATAGTGGAAGGAGTGAAACTAACTCCTGGAAGTTGTCCTCTGTCCTCCAGATGAGCACTGTGCCATGCATGGACCCATAGACATACACATGGGCACAAATAATAATAATAACACCAGATTAACTGAAAAGTTTAGGTAGTGGATGCACTCGTGAGACTAGACAGTTGCAGGAAGAGTGATGGCAAAGGTAACAGATTGGTGAAGGGCAGAGCGGCAGCCACTGGGCTGGGAAGAAGGAAAAGATGACAAATGAAGCTGACAGCTGACAGCTAGACAAGCCTGGGGAAACCAAGCAGGGGAAATCAAGCCCCATGTTGCTCCTTCCCTTAACTCTCACTCTAGGGACCTCCTGGGGAGGGGCACGCTCTACAGATAATGATACCTCACCTCGTTTCCTGGTTACAGAAGCTGGGGAGGGAAGTGTCCCGTATTTTGTTGTTCTCCTACCCCCTGGAATTCGGGATCGCCCTCACGTACTCAGTCTGCAGCTGTTCATATTTGGTGAGTGTTTCTTCGGGCAATTCAGGGGCTATCAGCTTCTAGTAAGCAAAGGTAAGAGGTGGCATTCTACAACTGTCTGGAACTAATATCAATGTAATGTATGAGGTTTCCTTTACCTTTTGTTTTCTTTTGCCATAAAATATGGGTGTAAAACAAGATGACAAGAGTAATATATGAAACTGTAAATTTAAAAATTAAAAACATATATATTATATATACACATACATACACACATATATATATACATACACATACACACACACATATATATATATATGCTGATTCTTCCCTTAACATTGTTAACACATTCAGATCAAACACACACACAAAGCTACAGAACACACGTTGCCTCCTTAGTAGGACGTAGAGAGAGGTGAATGCTGATGCTCAGCTGGCTGGCTTGCTTCCTTACGTAGGATCCAGGACCTCAGCCCGCAGCACGCTGCCAGCCACATTCAGGGTGGATCTTTCCTCTGCTGACCCTCTCTGAAAACACCAGTTTAACAAAGATGTCAAACAGTGTGCCTCCTAGATGGTTCTAAATTCCATCATTGCAAATTAGGATTAACCATCACATTTCCATTTCTCCAGCCCTTACGTTCAATTGTAAAGAACTTTACCTTGGTAAGCAAGACTTGAAGGACTGTGGTACCCTCACAGCTTGAGAGCTGATTTTACTTGAGGTGTAATATGGAAAGTTTCCTCAGGGAGGGTTAATGAAGCAGCAGAGAGCACAGCAGCAAACAGGCAGATAAGACCAGGACACTCGTCCTAGCTAAGACCATAGGAGACCATATTACTGCTGGAACAAGAAATTGACAGGAACTCAATAGAGACATTCAGAGAAGAGAGAAACCGCTGTGGACTGTGCTGAACTGTGCTGATAGCCTGGTCATTCCTGTATCTGAAAGAATGAAAACATGTTCATGGCTTTGCATGCGCTAGGAAACTAGAGTTACCCACCTGGGATCATTAAAAAAATAAAAAATAATAATAATAAACCCTCCAAAAATAAGGGGAAAGCTGGAGTATACATAAATGACCCAAACTTTGCAAAAATTTCTCAAGTGCCCTAAGAACCCTTTATTGACTGAAGATGCGTCTTATTTTTCTACTTTTACCACAGCAAAGCAGCAAAGATTATGTGGTTTAAACATGAAAGTGTATTTTCTCACAGTTCTCGTCCAGAAGTTCAAGACCAAAGTGGTGCAGGATTGGTGACCTCCACAGCCCCTCCCTTTTTCGTTACTTTCAGTGTCTTCCCGTGGCCTCCCCTTGGATGAGTCTGTGTCCTGATCTCTTCTACATACACCAGTCCTGTCTGACAACAGCCCAGCCAAATGACACTTTCAAGTTCCATTGCCCCTTTAAAGATCTTATTTCAAAGATTTTCACATTCTAATATGCCAGTGGTCAGGATTTTGAATTACATGTGTTAAGGACTATAATTCAGACCACAACAAAGCGTTTTTAGTATCACCTCTGTCTAATGACAAGCTGAGCTATTGTTCCAGCCCTGGGGAGTAGACTAGAAAATCCGCCTACAAAGAAGAACTAGAAATCGGAAAACAATGAAAATGTGCAGATATATCAGAGGCAAGCTCCAAAGGAAACAGACTCCATGTAATTAGCATAAACAAATCTCTAGGAAGAAAGCAGCATCCACCATTCACAGGGAAAGATGAAACTATTTAAATGAGTGGTTCTCAACCTGTGGATCTTGGCCCTTCCACAAGACTGTCTAAGGCCATCAAGACCATCAGAAAACACAGGTATTTCCATTGTGATTCAAACAGTATCAAAATTACAATTATGAGGTACCAATAAAAATAATTTTATGGTTGGGGTCACCACAACATGAGGAACTGTATTAGGTCACAGCATTAGGAAGACTGAGCACCACTGATTTAAATTGTCTAACATTTAACTAAAGTATATAACAATTATCTAAGATGCCCAGTTTCAAAAACTACAGAAATACAGGGAACAAAAGTACCACATGGGTGGTAATTTGGATGAAAATAGCCCCCATAGGCTCATAGGGAGTGGCACTATTAGGTATAGCCTTGTTAGAGTAGGTGTGGCCTTGTTGGAGTAGGTGTGGCCTTGTTGGAGTAGATAGGGGCTTGTGTGTCACTGGGGATGGGCTTTGCGGTTTCAAATGCTCAGGCCAGGCCCAGTGGTACTCTCTTTTCCTTTGACTTCTGATCCAGATGTAGAACTCTCAGCTCCTTCTCCAGTACCTCGTCTGCCTGTGTGCCATCCTTCCTTCCATGACGATAATAAACTAAACCAAGCCATCCCCAATTATATGTTTTCCTTTATAAGTGTTGCTGTGGTCACGGTGTCTCTTCACAGCAATAGAAATGCTAAGACAACATAAAACTTGAAAAGAACTCTCACGACCTGTAGTCTTGGTGGCAGGAAAGAACAAAGGTGAAAAAGACAAAAACTTCAAAAAGCTAAACTGACATATGAGTGACCGCAGTGACTCACTGAATAAGGTGATCAGACAAGGGGCCTTAGCTTGTCTTAGCCTGACTGCCCTTGCACAGTGAGTGTCTGGGTTCTTGACTGGAGGACCCAACTCTCTGGACGCTCGTCCCTGGAGACACATCTCACTCCCCACCCCCGCCTACTGAAGCCTCGGAGACCTGGGAGCAGCCTTCCCCCACACACAACTATCCTCTACCGCATCTCTGAGCACCTGAGCCTTGGCCCTGACTGCCCTTGGAGAGGTGAGTGTCTGGGTTCACAGGTGAATGGTCCTACTCTACAAGACCTATCACAAGGAGGCACATCCCATGCCCCACCCCAGCGACTAAACCCCAGAGTCTCCAGAGCAGTCTCCCCATACCTGCAACCATCCCCCACTACACCTAAGACCACTGGAGCCTTGGCCCTGACTGCACCTGGAGAAGAGCACCAAGAGTCTTAACAGCGACTCACAGAGGTATGGCCCTGCCTACACAAGGAGTTAGAGTGACCACATAAGCCAGAGGCCCCACCTACACCAAATGGAGGAAGAATACATTCAACAACCTCAAGAACAATATGGCAACACTTGAACCTAGGGGTTCTACAAAAGGAAGACCCGAACATCCTAACTAAGAAGCAGCAGAAGAGCCAGGCGGTGGTGGCGCAAGTCTTTAATCCCAGCACTCACTCGGGAGGCAGAGGCAGGCGGATCTCTATGAGTTCGAGGCCAGCCTCCAGGACAGGAACCAAAAAAGCTACGAGAAACCCTGTCTCGAAAATCCAAAATAAATAAATAAATAAATAAATAAATAAATAAACAGCAGAAGAAAATAACCTTAAGTAAAACATTATGAAGAAGATAGAGATCCTTAAAGATGAAATGAGGAAAAGAAATAGAGGAAAAGACAAACAAAAAAATGGAAGAAATCAATAAATCTCTTAGAGAAAACAAGAAGAAAAACAATCAAACAGGTGAAGGAAGCAGTTCAAGACTTGAAAACTAAAATAGAGTCAATTTAAAAAAACACACACACACACACAAAAAGAGGAAATTCTGGAAATGGAAAATCTGGGTAAACAAACAGGAACTACAGATGCAAGCATAACCAATAGATTACAAGAGATGGAAGAGAGAATCTCAGGAGTTGACAATACAGTAGAGTAAATAGGGAATCAATCTACCTCAAGACCCAGCTATATCACCTTTGGACATAAACCCAAAGGATGCAGACCCATACCACAAGGACATTTGCACAACTATGTTCATAGCAGCATTATTCATAATAGCCAGAATCTAGAAACAACTTAGATGCCCCTCAGCTGAAGAATGGATAAAGAGAATGTGGTACATTTATACAATGGAGTACTACTCAGTGGTTAAATAAAAGACAATGGCATCTTGAAAGTTGTATGCAAATGGTAGAACTTGGAAAAAAAAAACATCGTGAGTGAGGTAACTCAGATCCAGAAAAACAAACATGGTATGTACTGAGTCGTAAGTTGATATTAGATGTAAAGCAAAGAATAACCAGTCATAGTCCACGACCCCAAAGAAGCTGGGTAACAAGGAGAACCCTAAGAGAAATACATGGATTTCCCCAGGGATGGGAAAATAGACAAGAGCTCCTGAGAAAATTGGGAGCATGAGGGTGGGGAGGGGGGAAGGGATGGCAGAAGGAGAGAGGGAGAGGAAAGAGGAGAATATAAGAGAATGGGACAGTCAAGATAAGGGAAGGACAGAGCGAGAGAGCAAGGAAAGATATATTGATTGAGGGAGCCATTAAGGGGCTAGTGTGAAACCTGGCACCAGGGAAATTCCCAGGAATTCACAAGGATGACCCCAGCTAAGACCATAAGCAATAGTGGAGATGATGCCTGAATTGGCCTTCCTTGTAATCAGATTGGTGACTACCTTAATTGTCATCATAGAACCTTCATCGAACAACTGATGGAAGCAGATGCAGAGATCCACAGCTAAGCACTGAGCATCCAGAGGCCAGTTGAAGAGAGGGAGGAGTGATAATATGAGCAAAGGGTCAAAACTATGATGTGGAAACCCACAGAAACACCTGACCTGAGCTAGTAGGAGTCAACTGACTCTGGACTGACAGAGGGGGAACCTGCATAGGACTGACTAGGCCCTCTGAATGTGGGTGACTGATGTGTGGTTGGGGCAGTCTAGGACCACTGGTGGTGGGACCAGGATTTATCCCTAGTGCTTGAACTGACTTTTTGGAGCCCATACTTTGATCAGCCTAAGTATAGAGGAAAGGGCTTTGGTCCTGCCTCAAAGTGATGTGTCAGACTTTGTTGACTTCCCGTAGGAAGCCTTACCCTCTCTGAGGAGTGAATGGGGTGCGGTAGGGAGTAGGTGGGAGGAGCAGAAGGGAAGGGAGGGAGTGAGAGTGGGCTAAGTATGTAAAATGAGAAAAGATCGTTTTAAAAATAAATTAATTGATTTTTTAAAAAAAGATGATCAGACAAAAACAATTTATAAAAGAGGAAGTTGAATCCTGGGATTTAAGTGTAATCATGCATTGAAAGAAATGTAGGTAAGTACACTTGTATCCGTCCACAATGTCAGAATCTATTGCCTAACAATAAATTCACAAGGAATGGTGAGCTCATTAACAACACTGGCTGCTTTTACAGATGTCCCAGGTTCAAGTCCCAGTACCCACACGGCAGCTCACAATCATCTGTAACTCCTGTTCCAGGGATCTAACACCCTCTTCCGGCCTCCTCAGGCATCAGGCATACAAGTGGTAAACAAACACACATGCAGGCAAAACAACCACACGCGTAAGAAAATATCAGAAAGTATGTCAAAAGTTATAATACAGAGCCTTTAAAAGAAGGTAGATTGGATTGAGAAGGAGACAGAAAGAGAACAAATGGCACTCTGGAGTAAGTACCAATGCAGCCTGTATTCTTATTATTATATTTATTCTCTACCGCTCACATGGTTTGAAACACTGGATGTCATCTGAAAGTAGCTGCTTTTTCTTTTCCAGGGACGAGAACAAGAAGATAGTTTAGAAAGTGTTACTGAAGTCATGGAGAGCACATTCTGAATGCTGGCGACATAAACAACGTTCCCGACTGCACACACCTGATGTATGTGCCCAGGATATTTCTATATAACAAGGCTGCTGCGCAATGCATGCATTTTGTGCAAAATGAAATTCTCAACAGGTTAAACATTACCCCTTGCTATTTAAGGAATGTCTACACACATATCTGCTAGGTTCCAGAGGGGAACACTTTTCCTATGTAAACGAGAGACTATCGCAAGGAAGCGTTTGCTAGCTAGCCACTCTGAAAAGCCGTCAGCTCTCCACAGCAGATCTTCTGCGGTAGATCATAGAAACTGCCTGTAGCCTGTTGAGTGCAGGCTAGGAAAGTTGGAGCATAGTCTGTAACTCAGAGGAAAACTTGAATTTCTGTCCCTGCGAGTGAAAAGCACATTCCACATTCTGCATTCTTCTCAAGCTAGCTTCCACCTCCACAAAGCAAGGATCCAAAGGTCATCAAGTCAGTGCCTTTATTGTCCCATGGCTTTCCCTGTCCTCATTAAAGTTCCTTTCCGCCCTGTATGTCTCTGCTGCCTTTTTCCCCTCTTATTTCCCTGCTTCCTTCTCATTATTTGAGTCGAGGTGCAATACATGGCAAAGCAAACTGCTTTCCATGTTAAGGTCCATCTCTCAGGAAGCTATTCTGTGTGTAGTTTTCCTGTTCTTCTAATGTGAGCGTGGCATCAGAGAAGTTTCCTCAGCAATGCAAGCAATGCTAAGCTAAAGAACACAGGTGTTTTCACATCCACAGTGGACCGTCTGTTTCCTCCCTTGTCTCACAAGGCGTTACACTGATTGTTCTCCATGACAGTCAATGAAGATTTCTTGAGCCTACAAATTTCAGTGCGTAGCTCATTTCTGAATGTCTTCTGTGTGCAATGAAAGTATTAATCCCTGGGGAGTCAGAGATTGGTGAGGCATCGTGTGGCTGTTCTTATTTTAGGAGAGGAACAAGCAGCTGAGAAATCACAACCGTGAGGGATTCTCATATTAAGAGGCATATGAAAAAATGATAGTATGACAGAGTAGAGAGTGCTCTTTCTGGTGGAAAGATGTTGATATTTTGTGAAAACTCCAAACAGGAGATTAATATTGGGTAGGGGCTTGAAAGGTGAAGGCGGACATTTCAAATGAAAGAATTAGGGTGGCTATTTTTCTACAGAAGACGAGGAGGAAGAAGAGAGGAGAGAAAGGGGGGAAGTGAGAAGAAGAAGAAGAAGAAGAAGAAGAAGAAGAAGAAGAAGAAGAAGAAGAAGAAGAGGAGGAGGAGGAGGAGGAGGAGGAGGAGGAGGAGGAAGAGAAGAAGCAAGAGGAGGAAAAAGGTAAAGAGGAAAGAAGAGGGAAGAAGAGGAGAAAGAAAGGAGGAAGAGGAGGAGAAAGAAGAGGAAGAATAGCGAATAGGGCCTGAGAAGGTCATACATGACTAGAATACAGTTTGATCATGTTACCCCTTGATCTTTTCTGACTCCAACTCTTCCAGGATTGTCTCCCTTACATCCCTCTCTCAAATTCATATCCTCTGTTTTTAAAAATGTATAAGCTACTGAGTTCAGTTAGTGTCACCCAGATGTTCCTGAGTGTAGAGCTGACCACTGGAGCATGAGCACCCTACCAGTGTCCCCATCCCTCAATAAGACACTCTCTCTCCCCAAACAGATGTTGGCTACCCGTATCTCCTCAGGTAGGAGCAGAGCCTGGGACCCTTTCAGCCATTCATTCTGAAACAGGCTTGGGGTTGTGAGTCTTCTGCAGGTTCTGGGTGCAACACAGCTGTCATGTGTAAAAGCCACTGCTTCGCAGCAATCCTCCTGATCCTGTGTTGTCAAGGGAAAGTCCAGGAGACGTCAACCCTACACAAAGAACTACAAGCAGCTAAGAAATGCCAAGAGTGGAGAAAATGGCCTTCCCTAGGGAAGATCACAAAAATTTGCTGTCTAATACTAAATGGTCAGCCCTGAAGACATATATACAAGTGACAGTGCATGCACTGAGCAGGTTATATTTAGGAACACACACACACACACACAGGTAGGAACATGTGTGTATGTATATATATATATATATATATGAGTGTAATAACAATTAATTTAAATTAATTCAAGAGGTCTTGAATTTGAAATACAACAAGGAAGGTTTTGAGACAGTAAATATAAAGGGAAATGATGTAATTATATTATAAAAGGAAGAATTAAAAAATACAATAAAGAAAGTGAGGGAAAAAAAAACACTAGAAAGGTTGGAAAACCTGAAAGAAAGAAGTGGTTTTTCAAGACCATGGAAGATAGAGAGCAGCCTTGTCCCTTATCTATTGGTACATGTATATTTTTAAATTATCCTAGTTGTCACACAAAGAGTAAATAGAAAGATGTGTTTAATTTTGATAACGCAGTCGGTCTAACTTAATAAATCAAATATATCTAAGAATCATCAATGACATTATTTGTAGTTCTTTAATTATATGGAGTCTTCGGAATTATGTGTGCATTATGTACTTAAAACGCATGAATGCAAGACAACCTCATGACAAAAGATTCATAACCACATATAGCTACTAGTTTGTGAAACTGTGTGAGTCTAGAAGCTGCCATAGAATTCACAGAACCTGTACCCTCCATTCTCATAGCCAAGAGCTCCTGGTTCCACAAAATGAACAGGCTTTTAGCACAGGACTTCCCCAGGCAAACTCAGTGATGGACCAAGAGGATGAAGTGTCCCATGAGAAAGGTGTGACCTTACAAGGATCAGTGCTGACAAAGGGTATATTCCAGAGGTCACATTCGGAAGTCTTGCTGCCCCATTGTTATCTCAACAGGTTTCACAGGCAGTCCACACCAGCACCTATTCATTGTTAGTTTCTACTGAAAACACTATTGCCTTTCTGTCCTTAAAAGCAGAGGTCCAGAGGTCAGTATGCATTATCTCCCAATTATCACCTCTTGTTTTTCCTTGACTCCACTCTAGGTCAAGTCTGGCCCCCATCTGTTCTCTGAGGCCAGTTTTTGCAATGACAGCAGTCAACTCCATATTGCAAAATCTAGCAACCCAATGTACAACCCTAAGAAGATTAAGGCGTCATTTCATAGTTTTCCTAAGATTCAATCGAGCATCTGCAGGGACCTCTTCTTGTCAACTCCTTAACTCCTAAGCTGGGTTCTATTTGTCTGGCCCCCTAACATTAAAATGGATCATCTCTCAGGAGGATTAATCCCAGCACTCAGGAGGCAGGATCATCTCTCATCCCAACCGCCCCACAAGGTAAACTCCAGAGGGAACGGATATTCTATATTGTCTCGACTTCTTACTCCCAATGCATAAATAGTGTCATTCACATTTACTCTCAACGGGACTTTATTCCACGAATTACATAATATACAAAACACCTGATACTGGAAGCCTCAACAAATTGTCTGTGAAAAACACTCCTTTAGTTAGCAGGCAGGCAAACCACATTTGCTTTTGAGACTCAACATAATCCAAGTAAGCGGGACAAATGACCTTCATTTGTTTATTCACTTCTACTGAGTGCCGGTTATAGCACCATTACACTAAATGTTCAGTGATTGGGAATCCATAGCATAAATGATCCTTGGCATCATAAACATGACTATCAAGTTAGGATTCTCTAAAATATATTTAGGACTTGATTACAACAGTCGCCTTTTTTCGTAGTTGGTTTATTTTTGTTTGGTTGATAGGTTTATATGTTTATATGATGGATTTTAGTCGTTTTTCATACACACACACACACCCTACCTCTCATCTCCCTCTGGATCTCTTCTCAACATGCTCTTCTTTTTGGGTGTTGCTCATTGAGTTTAGTTAGAGTTTCCTGTCCCAGGGTGGGTGACAGATTGGTGCAATCTAGTTTCTGAACATGGGAAGTACACAGAACAATTGGGACCTCGACTTTGCAGAAAGACAAAGGACCAGAGAAGATATATTGGCCCAAGCACCACCAGATCTGTGGTTCCAAAAGCACTCTTCCTTCTAGAGTTAAAAAGCTAGACTTTGAGGACACTCAAAATAGAAGGACTTGCTTCTATCAATCTACTAGAAAACAGTGGAAGTCATTTGCTTGGTGGGAACGTCTTTGGAGCACGGAACCAACCTGTAGTTGGGCTCAAACATTCTTCAGTTTAATGGGTAGAGTGTGTTCACCACGGGTGAGTAATGGGCGTCTGCACTAGACTCTCGCCAGCAGGCCCCATTGGCTAACCACATCTGTACCTGCGGGCCTGAAGGCTGGGTGGAACCTCCGCGGGCCTGCAGAACTAGTGTCTGCGTGGCCCTCCTCGCGTGGCGCCCTTTACGGTTGCTCTGGGACACAACCGCTGCAACGTTGGATCCCAAGAGGTAATGAGGGACACATGGAGGTGGCAGCGCCCCGGAGGCAGGTGCTGCCCGCAGAAATCCCAGAGCAGGAAGATCTAGACCTAAAGGAAACCCCGGAAGGATTGCCTTCCTCTACTGTTGTGATCATACGAAGTAGAGAATCCATGACCCAACAACAGAGCAAGTTAATGACTGGCTCTGAACTCGACTTTCCGGTGAGTTTCAGTTCCATACTAGCTTCCTTTTCTCACAAGTATACACTACAGGGGGCTCTTGCTGCAGAGAGAGCCTTTGACCGAGTTTATTACATTCTTTTTCAAGTCATCACCTCGTAACGGGTAAGTTTTTAACTCAAGCATCTTCTTAAATGCTTTTTGTTAGGCCTTTGTGTACTTCCTTATTGACGAAGGCCAATAATCCAGATTTTGTGGCTTATATGAGGAGAAGAAAACGTGCAAATGCAAGATCTGAAAGCAATGCTGAATTCTAGATACGACTGTGCACAGCAGTTGAAAAAAAGGGGGGGGGAAAGATTGGTCAGACATTAGAGACGGGGAAGGGGTAGGGAGTAAGGGTGGGGAAGAAAAAAGTCAAAGCCACCTCTAACTAGAAAGCCACACCAAAAATGTATCAATCTTTTGGCTGAAAAAAAAAATCAAAAATTATCGCTTGTTGGTTTGAGCAACATATGAGTATTTATACAATGTATAGGCATTCAGACTTCCAGCGGGTAAAACCTAATAGTACCATTGCTTCTAGCTTTGAATATCTTCTCAATCAAACTCTGCCAGATCCTCAGGGAAAGTTTAACCTGTGCCCCCACTAAGTGGCTTAGCTATGCACCTTTTTCAGACCAGCTAGAATCAAACGACTACTTTTCATGGGTTAAATACAGAAGCTGAGCAGGGTTGTGACTCCTACAAAATAGGAGCCTTTGCCCTCTCTATCAGTGTTGGCGATGATGAGTTACCCTTATCTGGCCTACCGAACCCCCTCCATTGTCGCGTTCACTGTCTTAAGAAACCTACCTACTCTCTACAGTATTCTATTTCCC